CTCCTCCTCCTCTCCATCACGAGACTCGCCAGCTACAGCGTTCATGCAAGCACAGACTGACCAGATTGCATCTCTCTCACCACCCACAGGAAGCCATCAAATCCGCCCTCTCCCTCCCCCAACTGCAAGTCCTCTACATCGACATCCAAGACGACTTCTCGACGCCCACTTCGGAATTCCTGTCTGTCGCCGAACCTCCCCTGCGCGAGGGCTACGCGAAGGAGCTGCGATACTTCGCCTTTGGCGACGGCACCACGTACGAATACTTGAGAGAGGAGGGCAGTTTTTCGGATACGCCGTCTCTCGTCGGGTATATCCCGGGTACTGTCTTGCTCCATGAGAAGATGTATGACTGGGTCGAGACTGCAGTGTGAACAAGGGAGGTGGAAAGGAAAACAAAAACAAACCCAAAAAGGCAAAAGAAAATGAGAAAGCAAGAAAACAAGCAGAAAATTGTTACATCCTGCTGTGCAACCCTTTCTGATCTCCCAGCGTTGGTTCTCTCGCCATGCCTCGCGTTGTTCCTTTTTTTTCCCTTCTCAGACCGCCTCTGGTGCTCCTGTTGATCTGATGTACCACAGCCTTGCAAACTATATCCTAAGTTGAACAATATATTCGGGTAGGATTTCTTGAGAAGAGATACAGGTGCAACCTATATATCTGGTTATCTAGTGCAGGTCGAAGCTTCGACGAGGCAGAAACGAGAGTCTCTTCCCAGAAGAGCATAAAAGGCAGGATCAGCATACACTTGACATAACATACACAAGACGGTCTATCGAATGCGGTCTAGACAATACAATCACCACATGGACAAGTGACAACTTCTCTCAGATTGGAAAAGCTCAGCGTTGCAACGTGCAGTTTATGCGCAAGCAAATATTTAAGCCGATTTCACAAAGAATCAACACACACCCCCTCACCACTTCCTGCTCGTGTCTCCTCAACATTCAGTAATTCAGTAAAGCAGTAGCTCCCTCTCTCTTTCCTGTCCCTTGCATTCTTCCTGTCAGACATCCCCGCCGCTATTCTATCTTGCTTCATCTCTTCTTTCCTCCGCGTTCCTTTCTCCATTGTTCTACCCTCCAACCATTTCTCCAGCGATAACCCCTCCCCAAGCCCTTCCAGCAAGAACGGGCATACAGCGACATGAATATAGTATATGGTGTCATCGTAGGCAGTTCTCTCCCCCAAGGAAGGGAGCGAGAATCGAAAGAGGAGGGCTAGAACGAAAGCGTAGCTCCTCCTCCTCCTCCCTCCCAAAATTAACCCCCCTCGAAACTATGCAGACACTGGATGCAGGCCAGGTTCCGCGCCGTCTTTACTTTTGCTGCCGGCGGCGGCGGCGGCGGCGGCGGCGGCGGCAGCCTGCATCTCCCTCTCACGAATCGGCTTGATCAATTCCTCATCCTCGGGCAGAATGGGCGTCCGGTCGTCCGGGAGCAGGGAGTCCAGGAGGGTGCGAGTCACATCCTCGGGATGATTGGCCTGGATGATCTCCACGGCCGCGAAGATGAGCGCCGGGTCGTCGACGCGCGCCAGACGGATGAACTGCTCGAGGTACTCCCGGTAGTAGCTGGCCTGCTGCCGCATGTACTCCATGGTGGTCTTCCGGCGCCGGTCGCTGTGCGGGAGCAGGACGCATTCCACCTGGTGGATCCGGCACATGGTGCATGGGATCCCGGATTCATAGGCGGTACACTGTTGGGGGATGGAGTTCCCCGGTTGGATCCGGGGGGAGATGTGGTCAGAACAGTAGAGAAGTAATGGAATAACGCGATCAACGGGATAATGAAAGACAGGGAGAAATTGAAGGGGGGGGAGTTGCTTTTGCATGCAGTGAGGAACTCCTCGCGGGGAGTTCTCATCCTCTCTCTCTCTCTCTCTCATCTTGCAGCAACAAACAACATTCGAGCCGCGATGGGAAAGGGGGCATTTACCCTGGTGCGTTTCTCTCGACACTTCACGCAGGACGATGGGGACCTTTTGACTGCCTTCTTGGCATTCCCCGGTTGCGAAGGCCCTGGGGGCTCTGGAGGATCGGAAGCCCCCCGTTTCGAGGGCACGAGTGTCGGCTTCGGGGCGAGAGGGCGGTAGGCGGTCGTCGAGCCGGACCCTTGTTGGGCCATGACTTGAGGGGCAACAAGAACTCAAGAACTCACTGGCGAGCTGAGAAAGAAAGGTGGGGGTCATACAGGGTCGAAAGGAGGTGGGAATAGATGGGTACTTTGTTGTTGTTGTTGTTGTGGTGCCAGTGATAGTGCCATGAACAACATTGATAAGCAGCGAGTATTTTTGTTTAGGAGAAACCGGAGATGAAAACTCATGCGCTAACTATGACACGTCGGCGCCGCTGCAAAGCTCTGGAAGGCCTGCCCGCCCCAAAAACCCCAGCGGATGCATTGTCCGGTCGCCATTGATTGGCTGACAATCACCGACGCCCACTGATGCGCGATGGGGAGCCTAAGGCCTCCAGCTATTATTCTGTTCAGCCTGACCCCCTTCTGCAATGGCTCCCTGTGAGACAATAATATCGTGTGACTTTGGGTCAGTGGCTGTGAATTTTATCTCATACCCACGGAAATCGCTAAAGGGGCAAGGAGAAAGGAAAAAGAAAAAGAAAAAGAAAAAGAAAAAAGAAAAACAAAGAAAAATTCCAGAAATCGAAATTCAAATTGACTCAACCTCCGGATCTTCCGTAATATCGGGAACAGCGCTTCCTGAAGTCCCAAGATCGCTGGACCGCTTGTCATGTCGGGTGGTGGTGGTGGTTAATGCCCTGGGGTCAATTAAGGTTATCTGTGATATCACCGTCCTATGCTCTTTACAGTGCCAAGGGGGGGGTGCAAACTCCTTTCCTGGGACTGTACCAGCATGGTATCGGCGCGATATACAGCATTGTCAGAGATCAACAGGCGGTTGAGTTCTCAGTGTCGTCCTTCAGCATTGCGCACTTAAGAGGGGTTCGAGCATTTGCATTCATCCCTTGTGAACGGAGAGCCTCGGATAGGTGAATTTTCTACCCGGCAATTCATTCACTCAGCTCCGTCCGTACCCCAATCAGTCATGATGCATGCACCTCTTTGACTCAGAACCAGCTACATAGATTAACCTGCTGATCAGTTAGTCTTTCCGGGTTTCCCTGTTCGATGGATCAACTTTTGTTTTCTGTTTTTGACTTACCCTGCCGTAATGGCTGTCACATTCCTCCCTTACATCCTATATTTGTGGGAGGCGGTTCTGTATCTTGGCCCCTGGTGGGAGGGGATAAGATTCAAACCGCTCAATCCTCCATCCGTTCTATGGTCATGTCTTGTGGGCAGACAATAAGAGTCACGAGAAGTATTTGCCGTGGCGATGTGCTGGTCCAGAGCGAGCAAGGAGGCAATGCTGGGGTCTTCTCATGCAGTTGCTCGGCTGAAAAAGGCACATGCAGAACAAGCCTAGTCGAATCATGCTACAAGGGTGGTAAATCCGTAGCGGAGCCCTGGTTGGACTTGTTGTTGCCAACAGCAAGAAAGAAGATAGGATTATATTTCCAGCGCCAGCAAGAGGGGTCTTGCCGAAGAGCGTAGGAGAATGGCGTCACATGGAGTCAGGTTCGTCCTTAGAAGGTGCTTAAGGAAAATAGTGGGATGAGAAGCAACTTCGGTCTGACCCGGTTCCACATATATGCGACCGCATGAGCGAACCCAAGGCTATGTATAGTGTGTCAACGCAAGAATGACATCGATCCTTGGGTTCAAGCACTTTTTGGCCTTCCGTCAAAATTTGGTATATGTTTGCAGAATTGAATGTGTTCCTCAACAAATCAGCCCGGCTAGCTCAATCGGCAGAGCGTGAGACTCTTAATCTCAAGGTTGCGGGTTCAACCCCCGCGTTGGGCTTTCTCTTTTGCTTTTTTTTCCTTCCACTTTTTCCTTCCACTTTTCCACACCCGTGTTCAAGTGGGGCCTCTTCTCTGCTAATTGAGCACGACTGCGACAATAGATAATCCTGCAATTGACTCTATTCATAATTACGTTCTACTCCAATTCGGTCACGATTGATCACTGGCCCATATATTTTTGCAGTCCTGACACATGACAGACAAGACAGGGAGTTGAACCCTCTTATCGGGAAGTACAGGCCACAAAATATATTCCGACATCCAAAATCACAGCGCATGGCCATCTCCCGTGTCCCGATGCCCGTCAGGGCTAGAATTCACACTACCTAACGTCTACCTCACGTGCTTAGGACACTCAATCTCAATGGCAATACTACTATCCTTCCCTCCCTCTTTTTTCGTTAGGCTCAATGACAATGTTACGAAATGATGCATTGCTCTGTTCGGGCGCCGAAGCATCCTCTCCCAACCTGGGAGGAGGTACTTTTTAGTCCATTCTGTCACCCTGTGTCTGAAGACCTGCCTGTCTTGATTGCTAGTGAGTCATTCATCGCGAGGTGTGGCCTTTTTCCAATGTCAACGGCTTGCAAGCCGAGTCCTGCCGATGCTACTATCACCACTTACATTACCTTCCTAGGTAGGATGTGCAGCCCTAAGCCGTGACTGCCGCCTTTTTCCTCTTCGGAGTCCCTAGGTAGCATTCTTTATCTCTGCAGCTCAATTCTTCTTTCTGCACGCGACACTCGAGCCATTGACTGTCTATCCCCGAAGTTCTCATTTTTCTCGTCAGGGCCCATCTGTTTACGTCACTCTCTTCAAGGTCATGTTGTCAATTTGCATATATTCGCAGTAGCTCTTGTGTGACCATGTCTTCTTCGGTAAACGGATACTATCACACAGGAGCAGTCCTTGATCTTGACTACGAAAGCATTGATGACCCCTTGGACGGCCTGCTAAAAGGACGAGCTGGAGCCGATCAATCGGTGATCTAAAGATCTATCGAGATCGAAATTTTAGCCTTGGAAAAGCAGCATTTCCTGTGATGTAGTCCTTGCATTCTATGTTCGACAGTGACCTTTTTTCTTTCCTGATAATCCCCCCTTGTCTCCAGGGTCGTCGAGCTAAACATATCGGTCAATAGACTTGGAACCAGAATCTTTCCCCAAACAGACCTGTGTCTTCGATGGTTAGTCTCCCAGCAGAGTCATTATTTGCTTGTGATGAAGCGGATCATCTCTAATATGTTTTTGTTTCCGTGCGATTCTAACTACTGCCTTGGGCGACTAGTTCCTCCTGTTCTGGGGATCTGGCGTAAAATTCTTCCGTACAATGAGTCCGTGTGCTGAATCCTTTGTCTATCTCGAACTTCGTCGGCAATGGGATACATCCATCTATAGAAATTTCTTATCCGCTTTGGGGATACTGGAGTCCTCAACTTCGATATCATGGGTAACTCCATTCCCGGATCTTTATCGCTGTGGGCACCGTGTGAAGATCTCCATCAAGACTCTTTGAGTGGTACCTTGTCCACAGTAAACATGATGTAGTCTTCCCAACCTACCGGAATATATCCCACAGAGAAGTTGACCAAACCCATCGCAATTCGCAACGGAAATGTCTATAAATAAGCGCTGAGAAACGCTCTATACTCGACTCCCATCTTCCCCACAACCCACGAGACCTGACACAAAGCCAAGTCTCCACTAACAACATCCAGCAACTAACCACTCACTCAACGACAAAATCACCCAGTGACAATGGAGGCAACAGGAGCCGCGCCCCCCATCTTCGGCATGCACGAAGACGTCCCGTACGTCATCATGGAAAACAACCCCGCCCAGACGCCCCGTCAGGTCCGAGTCCACACCCTCCTACTCCAGGAGGCGAATCTCCCCCAAGACCGCTGGGTCGGGTTCGCGAAACGCGTGCTCCAGCATTTCTGGAGCCGCGAGCCGCAGGACCATCGGCGCCGCGGCGCGCTGGTCATCTACGAGGACCGCGTGCGGTTCTTCCGCGAGGACTGCTGGGGGATGCACGAGGCGGTCGAGTTCGTCTTCGACAATGAGCTCGAGTGGTACTCGCAGTTTCCCTACACGCATGTCATGCGGGGGTTTTATATGGCCCTGGAGGTTTGAGTGGTGTTGGTCCCGGCCACAGTTCGATCAATTGTGGCTAGGTGTAGGCGGTTAAGGGATGGTGAGTATTATTCTTGTGTTCGTAGCTCCTCGGTTTGAGAGAGGGGTTACAGGTAAACATGCAAAGAAAAAGAAAGCAAGGACTATCAGAAAACGATAATTAAAATTGAGCCCAGGTAGGTCTCCATTTCCTTGGGGGGTGCCTTTGGGTGTTTACTATTTTACACTTAATTTATTTTACATATTATATAGCTTGATATAGCGTTATGTTGTCATAGGATGGTCTAGCTCCATACTAGGCCTTTATTTTGCAACTTGGCGTGAGATCCATCATGATCATGCATTGTAGACGCAGACACTGGAGGATAATGCACTGTGCATCATGGAAGATATTCCTGGATGTTCATCAGATCTATTACTCGTCTTCTCACACGGGTTTTAGAGATCCAGTAGCTAGAGCACGCACGGCTCATTTTAATGCCGGGAAACAGCGACCCAACAAGAATCGCTGTGTATGCCAAAGATACCGGGGTGACTTGTGAGCAGTAGTATTGCTTAACAGACTCACGTCTATGAGAAGGATAGTCTACATAGTATGCATGATACTTAGAAACCAACCGGACAAGGACCCCACCGCATTTGACCTCGTTTCCCGATATTTCAGCTAGCCATTACCTCAAGTACAGTACCGGGTGCTCAGGCCTATTGATCAAAAGCCTGGTTCTGACACTTTTTTCTGTTAGTCAGGATTCTATAAACGAAGCGACACACACATCGGTCCCTTGAACATACCATTTGATAATATACGCCTCTTTTCCGGAGCAGCTCCAGATGGCTGCCCTTTTCTAACAGCCGGCCACCCTCCCCCAGCACAAAGATGATGTCTGCATTCTGCACGGTCGCCAAACGATGTGCCACGGCAATCATGGTTCTTCCCTTTCCTGCTCGCTCGAAGGCGGCTTGGACAAGTCGCTCGCTCTCCGAGTCGAGAGCGCTGGTCGCTTCGTCGAGCAGAAGCAGCCGGGGATTGCGGATTAGGGCTCGAGCGATGGCCAGGCGCTGCTTCTGCCCGCCGGAGAGAGCAACACCGCGGGACCCGATGTTGGTGCTGTAGCCCTCGGGGAGAGATATGATGAAGTCGTGGATCAATGCGTCGCGACTGGCGGTGTGGAGTTGATCGTCTGTGATGGCGCTCGAGTCGACACCAAGCAGGATGTTCTCCCGGATCGTGCCTGGTTGAGGGTTAG